ACGGCGCGCAAGGACCCGGACCACGCTCCGTCCCGCCGCAGAGCTCCCCAGAGGCGGCCTCTTGGTGCGGTGGCACAGTGGGGCCGCCCCCTCCGCCCGACTCATCTTTGAGCGGCGGCGGCGGCGGGGCCGGCACCAGAAACGGCTCCTTCTCCGCCGCCATCTCGATCATTTCCTCCCCTTATTCCGTCCCAGTCGGGGTAACGAGGGGGATCAGGGGGCTTAACCCCCCCTGCCTGGACCCTGCTCCCTTCCCCCCCTTTCCCGAGTGCGCGCGCAGCTCTGCTCTTCTCGCCTAGTCTCGCGCCCAAGCGCCTCCCCGCGAAGTGCGCCCCACTCGCCCGCGAGACCAAAACAAGATGCCCGCGAGACCCGAACTACTCGAGCACTCAACCGCGCGTGCGCCGACCCCTTTCTCCTCCGCCACTACCACCCCGCCGCGAGCGCGCACGGCGAGCGCGCGTTCCCTTCGCCCCGGAACCACGCATGCGCACTCCGCCACCACCCTGGTTGCGCGCGCATCGGAGTACGAACCAACTTAACGGCTCTGGGAGTTTAAATATAACCCCCCACACAGCCCCCGCAAAAGCCCACCACCCCAAACTGACACCCTACTTCCCTGCGCAGCTAGGTCCGGCCCTACTGATCTCCTTTGTCTCTGCCGCGCGATCCCACCCACCGTAGGCGGGGACGGGACCTGGTGTGAAAAGGTCTCCTTGACACCCGACCCTTGTTCCTGAGGAATGAGTCTCAGCGGTCTCCACCCGGCTCTAAATCCAACAACCTCCCCACCCCGCCTCCTTCCTCCCCCTAGTGGGCAGCGCCTGCGCACACCCTTTTGGGCTTGCGCGGGTACAGGCAGCACGTGCTGGAGGTGGCGCCCCGCCTCCCGTCTTAGGGGTAGGGCCTGTGACGTCGCTTCCTTAAGTTTGGTAAACGCAGCGTGCGTCAGCGCGATCCGGAGGGGCAGGGCTTCCCGACGAAGGGCGGTGCTCATGAATTATTCATGAGCTGTTGGTAGCACACCTCCCCCCTCTGCCCATCTTCTTAGAAGCGCCTCCGAAGGAGCAGAGAGACCCTACAAAGCCGAGGAAGGGCAGGAGTGGAACTGGGCTCAGTAAAACGCGATAGGTCATTATAACTCACCCCCCTCGAAAATATTCTCTGCTGAATTGGGGAAAAAGAAAAAGCACTAAAACAGCCGGTGTTGTCCAACTTCCTCTTCCCCCGAAACGGCTGAGTCGTTCTCTGGTTCCTCTGCCTTCCCCCAATCGCAATCACCTGGAGACGCCACACCACGCCTTCCTCTCCGCCTCCACACCCACGGCCCGGACCCCAACGCCTCCGCCCATTCCCGACGCCCGCTCACTGGCCCGTCAGCTCACGGGCCTCCCCAAACGCCCGCCGCGGCGCCGCGCCGACTTATATACCAGAGAGTGTGGGCGGGGACGGGGGTTCGGTCCGCGCTGGGCCCCCCCCCCCCCGCTTCGGCCAATGAGGAAGAAGCGAATCTACGCCGTTTTCCCGGGGAGATTCGCAGCCTGGTCTTCCTGCCAGCGGAGTGCTGGGTCGAGGAGCGTGTGACAGGGGTGACAGTGGGGTCCCGGAAAGTCTCAAATAAAATCCTAAAGTGAGGGCGTGAAGGAGACCAGCAGGAAGAGGAGGAATCAGGGAACGGAAAGAGGGAGGAAAAGGCAGTCTGAAACAGAGAAAAGTTAGTAAGATGTGCTTCAAGAACAATCAGGCGCTGCGGCCGCCGCCTAAAAATATGTGACACCAAAGAGGATTCTGGGATTTGTAGTTTTCCCGGGACGTTCGGGTGAAAGATGGCGGAATTACCTCAGCTGCGGAAACGCAGAGGCTGTTTCCAGTTGCGCATGCGCCTCAGACTCCGCGAGCGCGCCTCCCGGGGGTGGAGCTAGCGCGCAGAACGTCCTCGTGCCTTTTCTTGGTGGCGGGAAACCTGGGTTGAGGTGTGAGAGGCTTGCGGAGTCGCTGCGCCAGCTGGTTTTGCACCTCGCCTTTAGGTCCTCCTTGCTCCTGAAGGTAGCCGGCTAGTTTCTGGTTGTAGGTGAAGGTGCTAGGCGCCGCCAGTCCTGGCACCCGTTGCCTGAGGAGAAACTTTCTCAGGGCGACAACCAGCTCTTGGCCCTTTTTCCTCAGAATCTGTCGCCCCCAAGAAACAGACAAAAACAGCCCAGTCTCCTGACGGGCACTGACAATATGAGTGAGAGTGAGGATCACGGTGCCTTAGCGGGAGTGGGAGTGGAGGGGAGATTCCCTCATGGTGGGAGGAAGGAAGGGAAGGAACGGGAGAGGGGGACGCCACCGTTTTCGGGGAGAGGCGAGGACGTGTGGCTCAGGGACACCTCCGAACTGAACCCCTATCCCTGAGAGAGAATAAGGGGTGAGGGAAGAGAGAGGAAAATGGGAGCACCCCCCAAATGGGAAGAACTTCTCCCCAAAACTTCTTCCCTTTGGATTGCAAGGTGCATTTGGGATTGGGGCTTTTTAAAAATTATCTTTTATTTTTTATTATTTTTTAAAAGACAGTCTTGCTCTGTCGCCCGGGTTGGAGTGCAGTGGCGTAATCTCCACTCACTACAACCTCCGCCTCCCGGGTTCAAGCGATTCTCCTGCCTCAGCCTCCTGAGGAGCTGGGGTTACAGGCGCCCACCAGCACGCCCAGCTAATTTTGTATTTTTAGTAGAGATGGAGTGTCTCCATGTTGGCCAGGCTGGTCTTGAACTCCTGACTTCAGGTGATCCACCTGCCTCTTCTTTCTTGTTAAACGTTTTAAATCAGGCTTGCTGAGCTTGTGCACAAACGTGAAGGAAGCAAGCAAGGGAGGGAAGGGGGAGGAAGGAAGGAGGAAAGGAAGGAGAAGAGAGAGGGAGGGAGAAAGGGGGCAGGGAGGGAGGAGGGGGAGAGAGGAGGGGGTGAATAGAGGAAGGGAAAAAGGGGAGGGGCGAGGGAGGAGGGGGTGAAGAGAGGAAGCGAAAGGGAGGGAGGGAGGAGGGAGAGGAAGGATGGAGGAGGAGAGGTGGGGAAGGGAGGAGGGGGAGAGAGGGGGTAGGAAGGAGAGGGGGAGGAAAGAGGGAAGGGGGAGGGGGAGGAAAGAGAGAAGTGGGAAGGAGGAGGGGGAGAAAGGAGAGGGGGAGGAAGAGAGGGAAGGAGGGAGGGAGGAAGAGGAGGGAGGAAAGGAGGAGGAAGGGAGGAAGAGAGGGAAGGAGGGAGGGAGGAAGAGGAGGGAGGAAAGGAGGAGGAAGGGAGGGAAGAGGGAGAGGAGGGAAGGAGGAAGGGAGTGAAGGGGGAAGGGAGGGGAGAGGAGGGAAGGAGGAAGGGAGGGAAGAGGGAGAGGAGGGAAGGAGGAAGGAGAGGGAGAGAGGAAGGGAGGAGGACAAGGAAGGAAGGAGAGGGAGGGAGAGAGGGAAGCGGGAGGGGGAGGGAGAGAGGAAGGGATGGAGGGACAAAGGGAGACAGGAGGGAAGAAGGAAGAGAGGGAGGGAAGAGGGAGGAAGGGAAAAAGGAAAGAAGGAAGGAAACTGCTATTAGTTAATTGATGCATGAAAATAAGGAGGAGTCCACATACTGTTATTAATGCAAAAAGGAAGATCAGACTCTGGCTTAAGAAAGATTTGAAATATACTCTTTTTTTTTGAGATGGAGTCTCGATCATTTTGCACAGGCTGGAGTGCAATAGCACGATCTTGGCTCACTGCAGCCTCCACTTCCTGGGTTCAAGTGATTCTCCTGCTTCAGCCTGCCAATTAGCTGAGATTACAGGCGCCTGCCACCACGCCCGGCTAATTTTTGTATTTTAGTGGAGACCGGGCTTCACCATGTTGGTCAGGCTGGTCTTGAACTCCTGACCTCAGGTGATTCGACCACCTTGGCCTCCCAAAGTGCTGGAATTACAGGCGTGAGCCACTGCGCCTGGCTGAAATATACTCTTTACCGCTTTTTTGAGACTCAGGGAGTCTGGATTAGATGACAATGCTGAAGGGTTTACTTCTCTTAGACCAAGGATTTGAGGAACAAGGTAAAGAAGGGAATGATTGGAGGGTTAGGAGGAGGAAGTGTGGGAACACATTCTGAATGGTGTGTGGGGAGAGAGAATTACTGTTTATTTTTTAAAAATTGGCAAGACTGACAAGTTATTTCACTAGGTCAGTTCTCAAACTTTTTGGTCTGAGAACCCTTTTATACTCTTAAATTATGGAGGACTCCAAAGAGCTTTTATTTGGTTTGTATCTGTTGATATAAACATATTAGAAATTAGAATTGAGAAACATTTAAAGTTTGATTAGAAATAATAATATGTTAACCTAAACAGGTTTTTATGAAAAATACATTTTCCTAAACAAAAGAAAATTTAGCATGAAGAATGGTGGTGTTTTACATTTTTGCAAATCTCTTTCATGTCTGGCTTAATAGAAAACAACTGGGTTCTCATCAGTTTCTGCATGCAGTCTGTTGGGATATCTTGTTTTTGTAAAAGTACATGAGAAAATCAAGCTTAATACAGATAGGTAGTTGGAAAAGGGAGAGGACCCCCTAGGATTCTGGGACCATACTTGGAACTGCTGAGTTAGATGATTTCATCTCAAAATTTATGTGATGATTTTTAATGTTCTAAGTGAAATAAAACTGTTTTGAGATCCTCATTCACTTTCCCTTGGTTTCCTTTATTATTCCTAAGTTCTTTTTCCCTCCTTTTTTACCCTCATTTCGTATGTGGAGTGATGGGAATATGGTTTCTGGAACTGTACTGGTTCCTTTACATTCTTATTTAAAGCCTTTGCCCCTGTTATTAAAGCCTTTCCCCCAACCCCACATCCTGCCCCTCTTCATCTAAGGTAAGAAAAGAGAAATTAAAACCTCAAATTTTATTCCTGAGTCTACAGCCCCTAGTCATTTAGTAGCTGTACAGGAGAAAGTTAGTGGTATTTTATATATTTATTAACTGTCTATTTTTTTTTCCTCTCTCTCTGAACCAGCTTTCAGTATTTGTTATTGTGAAAGAAGTTAATTCACCTGAAACGGAGGAGGGGCAACCTGAGTTATCAGAAAGTGACTTCCTGGCCTTCCCTTCTTTATTGATCAGGTTAGAGCTTTTGTTTGAAAGCAGTGTTCATCACATGCATAGATTATACATATTATGTGATACTATACTATACATCACTGTTTACAGGTTTATTACATCTTACTAGCTCAACAGTGAACCACAATTCTATCTAGTTGGTTGGGGCTCCAGAAACATACTTTAGCCTAGGAAGATCTTTACAGGTTTAGATAAGGATTTGAACCTAAATACTGGAAATGTTTTGTATTTTTAGATTAGTCAAAATACTCTCTTTTAATTTTACTTAAAGAATTTAGGCTGGGCACTGTGCCTCACGCCTGTAATCCCAGCATTTTGGGAGGCCGAAGCAGGCAGATCACGAGGTCAGGAGATTGAGACCATCCTGGCCAACATGGTGAAACCCCGTCTCTACTAAAAATACAAAAATTAGCTGGGGGTGGTGGCGCACTCCTGTAATCCCAGCTACTCAGGAGGCTGAGGCAGGAGAGTCACTTGAACCCAGGAGGTAGAGGTTTAAGTGAGCGAAGATCGTGCCACTGCACTCCAGCCTGGCGACAGAGCAAGACTTGTCTTTTGAAAAAAAAAAAAATTAAAATATTTTTTGAAGTGGTAACATTTGTGTGTTTTAAAATGCCAAAGATATACGAGGGAGTATACCAAAAGCTTCCTTTCACTGTCATCTACCCAGTTCTACTCCCCAGAGGCATTTTGATCCATTTTTTTTCTCTTCCAGAGAAAATTTATGATTTTCTCTATTATGCTAGACATATGTTTTTAAAACTAAATATTGTCATCTGAAACACACTGATTTTCACTCTGCTTTTCTCACTTAGCATAGCCCTTGTAACTTAGACTGAGACTTCTTATGATCTTTTTTGGAATTTTAAAGTCTGAGAAAGATATATTTGTCATTTGTGATCAAATATTCTTTTTACAGCCTAATTTTATCCAGTCTTTTTTTTTTTTTTTTTTTTGAGACGGAGTTTTGCTCTTGTTGCCCAGGCTGGAGTGCAATGGCGCGATCTTGGCTCACTGCAACCTCCGCCTCCTGGGTGCAAGCAATTTTCCTGCCTCAGCCTCCTGAGTAGCTGGGATTACAGGCGCCTGCCACCACGCCCGGCTAATTTTTTGTATTTTTAGTAGAGATGGGGTTTTGCCATGTTGACCAGGCTAGTGTCGAACTCCTGACCTCAGGTGATCCACTCGCTTCAGCCTCCCAAAGTGCTGGGATTACAGGTGTGAGCCACCATGCCTGGCCAATTTTATCCAGTCATTAACTTCTATTTAGGATTATAATAAAGGAGATTAATTTGCTTGAGTGTTTCTCCCCAAAATTCCAACTTGCCTTTTTTTCTGGAGCAAATATGTTTTGGGATTGATGATGATGAGTTAAAATGGAATCAGCAAGAAAATGTGCCCTTTAATATAAAGGAAACATAGTTGCTTTAGAATAGCATGTCTGAATTATTCACATTTATAGAAGTGAGGAAAGGAACAGAAAAATGTTAAAGGGTATTCACATTCACAGCCATGCTGTGGCCACACTGTCAAAACCTCAGTACCCTTTAAATTTATCTTATGGTCTAGAGAGAGGAACCCTACACCTTGAACAAATTTGGCCATTTAAGGTCTAAAAATTTTCTGATCCTTTAAAGGGAAGTGTATGTGAACCAAATGATCCATTTTATGCTGCTTTTGGATCTCTTTATAGTGGGGATCACAGATTTAGAACAATGAGTTTCAGTTGTAGGACTTTCAAACTGCTCAAAACCAACAGAAACAAGATCACTGAGTAGAATAGATATGTTATTAGTAGAATTGAGAGGCAAAAGTCCTGGGTTCATCTAAGCTCAACAATATATTAACAGAGTCTTTGGGCAAACCACTTAACCTCTGTTAGCATGTTTTTTTCCATCTGTAGAAAGGGGAGTTGGGGCTTTATTATCCCTAAAGGTTTTCCCAGAGCTAGAATGCTTTTTATAATGGTTATAAAAGTAAGAATGACATATATCCCCTAAGTCTAAAGAAAACTGGGTAAAGGGCTATAAGAGGTTAAAGTTAATAAAATAAAAGACAGTTTTCTTCAGAAAGCTGGGTGGGACACAGAATACTACAAAGCCATATAAAAGAACAAGATCATGTCCTTTGCAGCAACATGGATGGAGCTGGAGGCCGTTATCCTAAGTGAATTAATACAGGAACAGAAAACCAAATACTGTATATTCTCACTTATAAAGTAGGAGCTCAACATTACATACACATGGAGACAAAGAAGGGAACAATAGACAATGGAGCCTACCTGAGGGTGGAGAGTGGGAGGAGGGTAAGGACTGAAAAACTACCTATTGGGTACTATACTCATTACTTGTGAAACAAAATTATCTGTACACTAAATCCCATGACATGCAGTTTACCCATGTAACAAACCTGCACATGTACCCCTTGAATGTAAAATAAGGGTTGGAACGTAAAAAAGGTTGGAAAGAAAACATGAAAATAAAGCTGTGTGGAAATAATATCAGTAGTGGGAAAGTATAAATTGGAAAATAAAAATATTGGAATGTCCCCAGATGAGTCTTGGCACACTGGTGGGTCACAAATAGCTTGTAGCTGTGTAGATACTAATTTCTTCTTCAGCCTTTGGTGTGACTCTTCAGTTGCCTGTGGCTGTGAGCAGCCTGGTCCTTTTACCCCCAAAGTACCTGGAAATGTCATTTTCTATGTGTTTCAGTATATGCTATTAATGTATGTTTTCTGTGTGTGCTGTGATGGCAAAATGGTGGTGAAGCACTGAATTAGACTGTTAGGATGTCACATAGCAGTTATTAGCACAAACTTTGAAATCAGGTTCTAATCCTGATTTTACTACTTATCAGTGACTTAGTATATTTAAATCCCTGTAAGCCTGAATTTCCCCCAAGTGTAAATGTTACCCATCTCATAGATCTGTTGTGAGAATTAAATGGAGTGCTACATAAAAGGTAAAGAATATAGTCAGTGCTCAGTAAGTGTTAGCCATTACCATTAGTTACAGTGTCAGTAGTAATCAAGAAACACATTGATGTCAGGCCGTGTGGAGTGGCTTACACCTGTAATCCCAGCACTTTGGGAGGCTGAGGTGGGCAGATCACCTGAGGTGGGGAGTTCAAAACTAGTTTGACCAATATGGAGAAACCCCGCCTCTACTAAAAATACAAAATTAGTGGGGGATGGTGGCGTATACCTGTAATCCCAGCTACTGGGGAGGCTGAGGCAGGAGAATTGCTTGAACCTGGGAGGCAGAGCTTGCGGTGAGCCGAGGTCGTGCCATTATACTCCAGCCTGGGCAACAAGAGCAAAATTCCTTCTCAAAAAAAAAAAAAAAGAAAGAAAAAGGAAAACAAACACATTGATGTCGTGTCGTGTGGAACATCTGTGAGTAGATTGCTGAAGATGAACTATGAATATCAAAGAAGGCACTAATTTAATTTCTCATTATTAGGTGCTAAGGTAGAATAAGGAAGAAGATATTATCTGGGAACCTGTGCTGGTTATCAAATACTTCTGAGCTATGATTAGAGATTGGTAGAATCTAGTACATTGGAAAATTGAGATTGGACTGAGGATCTAAGAAAGGGAAAATAAACATTATAATGATGTTAAAAGTGGGGCTTCTCTTTGCACCGAGACCTCTGAGGTCAGAGAATTACCAAATTATGTGTGTGGTCTTAAGTGTTTAGGAGAGGCTTATGAAATGAGGCTATCCCTCTGAAGAAAACTCTCTTTTCTTATTCATACCCTATCATCACTGCTCTACTACTACCTGTACTTCTGGTACTACTACCATTTCTGCTGCCTGCCTTATGTTGGACATGGTTCTAGGCACATAATACACTAAGGATTGCTGCTAATATTTATTTGTTATTTAAATTTTTGAGTCAGGGTCTCACTCTGTCACCCAGGCTGGGGTGCAGGGGCACAATTTTGGCTCAATGCAGTCTCCGCCTCCTGGGCTGAAGTGATCCTCCCACCTCAGCCTCCAGAGTAGCTGGGACTACAAGCCCATGCCACTACACTGGCTGATTTGTTTTATTTGTTGTGGAAACAGAGTTTTGCCGTGTTGTCCAGGCTGGTCTTGAACTCCCAGGCTGAACTGATCTGCCTGCCACGGCCTCCTAAAGTGCCAGGATTACAGGTGTGAGCCACCATACCCAGCCCTGATTGTTGCCAGTCTTTAAAACAGTAACTCTCGTTATTCCCTGGCGTGTAACTGGCACCACAGAGGCATGTAATTGGCACCACAGAGGAGGTCAAGAATGCAGAAACATAGTTCAGAGGTCTGAAACAAAGAGTTCCTGAACCCAGGAAGACAGAAGGTTTAAAATCTTGTTTAATCAGAGTCATAGCAGTTAATTTCTTTTTTCTAACAGAGGCACACAAAGTGTAGTTTCTAAGCTGAATGATGACAACATTGCAGAATAAAGAAGGTGAGTCAAGAGTGAGGGAGGTTCACTTTGTACATCTCTCTCATTTTTCTCCTTTTGGACATCCTTTCCACCAAAGGCTGGTTCAGGTCCCTATATTCTGTGCCCACTCTGGTCAAATTACTGCTCTGGTCAAACAAAACAAGATGCTTTGAGTGAAATAAATGTGACTTAAAAACAGTCCTGCTCGAGGAACATATGAACTTGGGGAGAGAAAAGGCATTTAAATACCTATTATAAAGTTGAATGTGGTAAATGCCACCAGTTTTGTGCAGAGTATTAAGGAAGCTCAGAAGAAAGATATACCTGGGAGGATCATTATAATTTTTATTGAGGAGGTGGCATAAGAGCTGTGAATAATTTATAGATTTTGACTAGTTTTTAAAAAATTGCTCTAATTTTCCATAACATTTTATCTAAAGTACAAATGAACAAATTATACAGTTTCACGTTTGGATAATTCAGCTTCCTGCATGTTTATATTTATCACCTTTGACTTAGTGGTTCCCAAACCTGGCAGTGTATCAGAATCAACTAGCCTTGTAAAATTAAAGATTGCTAGGCCTCTCACGTCAAACTACCTTGTCAGCATCTCAGGGCTGGGGAGTGAGAGACCCAGGAATCTGAATTTGTTAAAAGCTCTCTCCATATCATTCTGTTATGGCCAAAGGGCAATGTTTGGCAATCTTTGTTAGACTGTATGTTTCATAAATTCCACGTGATCACATTTCTTTCAGAATGTGGAAAGGGACCAAAGAGAATCTTTGCCCCACCTGCACAAAAATCTTACAGCCTGTTACCTTGTAGTCCTAACTCCCCCAAGGAGGAGACCCTGGGGATCAGTTCCCCAGAGACAGAGGCCAGCATAAGCCTGCCAAAGGCCAGTTTAAAAAAGGAAGAGGAAAAAGCAACCACAAAGAATGGTCCAAGCAGGGGCCAGGAGAAAAAAAGAAAGGCACAAAACAACAAGCAAGCAGAGAAGAAAGAAAAGGTACCAGTCATATTGGTGGGCTCTGGTAGGATATCTCCTCATACCTTGCCCCTGGCTAAGGCTAGACAGACAGTCTTTTCACGTTGGGGAAATTCACCCTAGAGTTTCAGGTTTGTATTCCTTTTTGGGAGCTTCCATTTTTCTTTTTTTTTTTCTCAAAGAGGTCAAAAATGTTTTGATGGAAGAACTGAACAGGAAATAATAGGATGAGGTGGGTTAGAGGTGGGGGTAGAAGTGGACAGAGACATTATACCCTTTTGTCTTTCCTTTGACTCCTTTATTCCCAGGAGATCTGGGATAGAGTTCATGGCCTCCTTAGGTATGCTGACTGCATGCCTTCCATCTTGTAAACTTACTGCCTCATCCATCTAAAGGAGGCTTCCCTGACTGTTCAGGGGGAAAAACTATGGAAAAGTAAGTGGTTTTCCTCCCCTACCCTTGTCTCTGCAGGAAAAATCAAGTCTTACCCCTGCAGAATTTGAGGAGATTGTCCAGATTGTGCTGCAGAAGTCCCTTCAGGAGTGCTTGGGTATGGCATGTAGTAAGAGAAAAAGGGTTTCAGTTAGGCAGAGTGACTATTACCTGAGAGGGACAGTTAAGTCTGACAGCTTCTCTCTTCCTCTCCCATCTTCTAAATAAGGTAATATTAGATAAGACTTCAATATATTTTAAAAATACTTCATCACTTATTAACGGGACTATAGCTAAACTACCTTAAAGGGTACGTATTTTTAGAAAAAGTAGATTACATTTACTTCAGAATTTATATATAGTCTTACCTAAATTTTCAAGCCATGGGATTTTTGTTGTTACTTATTTACTTATTATTATTTTTTTTGAGATGGAATCTTGTTCTGTCACCCAGGCTGGAGGGCAGTGATGTGATCTCGGCTCACTGCAGCCTCTGCCTCCCAGGTTCAAGTGATTCTCCTGCCTCAGCCTCCCAAGTAGCTGGGATTACAGGCACCCACCACCACGCCTGGCTAATTTTTGTATTTTTAGTAGAGGCAAGGTTTCATCAGGCTGACCAGGCTGGTCTCGAACTCCTGACCTCAAGTGATCTGCCTGCCTATAGCCTCTCAGTGCTGGGATTACATGTGTAAGCCACTGCACCCAGCCTGTTGTTTTAATTTTTATTTTTTGTAGAGATGAGGTGTTGCTATGTTGCCCAGGCTGGTCTTGAACTCATGGCTGCAAACAATTCTCCCATTTCAGCCTCCCAAAGTGCTGGGATTGTAGATGTGAGCTACAGTGCTTGGCCCTAAATTTTTTAAATGCAGTTAAAATGTATTTCTATGTAATTACAAACTACTTAGAAAAGATAAAATTGTTTTCCCTAGATTTGAAAAACTTAGGGTACATATCCTTGCAAATTTCAGTTTCTAATACTGATTTTGCATGTGGTTAGGGATTTAGTTTTTAGAATAAAGAACACGGTGAGGGAGGCCAGGTGTGGTGGCTTATGCCTGTAATCCCAGCACTTTGGGAGGCCAAGGCGGATGGATCACTTAGATCAGGAGTTCGAGACCAGCCTGCCCAACATGGTGAAACCCCATCTCTACTAAAAATATAAAAATTAGCCAGGCGTGGTGGCATGTGCCTCTAGTCCCAGTGGAAGTTGCAGTGAGCTGAGATTGCGCCACTTCAGCCTGGGTGACAGAGCAAGACTCTGTCTCAAAAAAAAAAAAAAAAAAAACCTCTATGAAGGCTTCTCCATAAATTCGTGAGGCTAAAGAGAACAGTCTGACATTTCAGCCATTCTTAGGTATACTTCTATTCCTAGGAGTTTGAACCACAAATGATATAAAATGCAGTGTGTGTATATATATATATATATTTTTTTTTTTTTTTTTTTTTTTTCTTAGACAGAGTCTTGCTCTGTTGCCCAGGCTGGAGTGCAGTGGTGTAATCTTGACTCACTGCAACTTCCGCCTCCCAGGTTCAAGAAATTCTCCTGCCTCAGCCTCCCGAGAAGCTGGGACTACAGGTGCATGCCACCATGCCTGGCAAATTTTTTGAATTTTAGTAGACAGGGTTTTACCATGTTGCCCAGGCTTGTCTTGAACTCCTGAGCTTTGGCATTCCACCCACCTCAGCCTCCCAAAGTGCTAGGATTACAGGCGTGAGGCACTGTGCTTGGCCTATAATTTTTTTATGTACACAAAATTATCATTACCTGGCCATCCTGGAATAAGGCAAATCAATCTGGAAAGGCTTGCAGAAAGATACATATTTGCAGTTTTTCCTGAAAATTTAAATATTTAAAGTTCTATGATATGACAAGAGGCCAAAGGTAGGCTCTTTCAGATGACAGGGAGAAGACACTTTAGAGAAAATGTTAGGGCATAATAGAGTGGCTTTTTTGTTTTTTTGCTTCTCTGCTTATAGTATTTTGTTTTGGGAGGGATGGGATCTGGCCTTGATTTTGCAGAGACTTCCTGTGCCCAGCCCATAGTATCCAACCAATCAGCCAAGGAGCCAGGAATTACTGCTTCTGCTACTGATACTGATAATGCTAATGGGTAAGTTTATTTTGGTGGGGCAAGTTGAACACAGAATGGACTACACATTGGTAAATCGTGGTCAGTAAGTCTATCTATCTGTCCGTTTGTCTGTCTATCTGGTCATTTATCATATTTCTATAGATTTCTCGCAGCTCAGGAAAGATACCTGTTTGAGTTGGGAAAAACAGGCAAGTAGATGGATGAAATGACCTCAGGAGGCCTTAGAAAGCTTAGGATTCATCTGTCTTCCTTTTACTCTTGGGTTTTTTCAAAAGAAGGTTCTGCAATTGTTCTATGTTTACCTTTCATTAAAATAAAACCTCATTTTCAGAGAGGAGGTACCACATACTCAAGAGATTTCAGTGTCTTGGGAAGGTGAAGCTGCCCCTGAGATAAGAACATCTAAGCTAGGCCAGCCAGATCCTGTACCCTCTAAGAAGAAATCCAATAGACTCACCTTAAGCAAAAGAAAGAAGGAAGCTCGTAAGTACAGTCAGATATACTTTGAAACCTGGCTCAAGTACTTGCTCTAGAAATTAGGGAATGGGACCATGGGCAGGCTGAGAATTTTCAGCCCAAGACTTGAGACTATTAGGCTGTGATTCTTCTTCCTTCTTTCACTGACCTTTACTATCTACAAAGATTGTCTTCTTCATCTCCCCACCCCACGTTTTCTTTTTTCTTCCCAGAAGATGAGAAGGTGGAGAAAACTCAAGGTGGACATGAGCACAGACAGGAAGACCAACTAAAGGAGACAGTTCAGGATCATTCTCAGATCAGGGACCTGCAAAAAGGAGAGATAAGTGGTTTTGGTGAGTTCAGTTGGTTTGGCAAACCTGTTTGGCCTGAAAATTTGAGATAGAGCAGAGAGGCAGGGTTAGGATGTTAGAGGAAACTCTGCAAAGAATATAGTTAATCTCTCACAGCTACTTGTTGCGGAATATGCTGCTGAGAGAATGATTTCATTCATTCAGTCATTTATTCACATAATCCATAGTTACTGGGTGCCTACTATGTACAAAGCATTTTAGATGTTTCCCAGGAGGAAAATGAAGATGTGGTAAGAAAGGTAATAGAAAAATCAGGAGTGGTATTATAGATGCCAGGGGAGGAGAGAATTTAAACAAAGAGGGGTGCTCAACCATGTCAAATGCCATTGTAAAGAAGTCAAAGAGGATAAACATAAGCTCAAGCATATCACAATTAGGAGGCCGTTAGGGGTTTGGTTACAGCTACCGAAAGGGTTGGTAAGTTTGAATGGCAGCTTATAGCCGGTTGAAGAGTAAACACTTTTTCAATTAGTTTAGATATGGAAAGTAAGAGGGAGAAAATGGTAGATAAAAAGGAATGGAGGCTGGGCGTGGTGGCTCATGCTTGTAATCCCAGCTCTGTGGGATGCCGAGGTGGGTGGATCACAAGGTTAGGAGTTCAAGACCAGCCTGACCAATGTGGTGAAATGCCATCTCTACTAAAAGTACAAAAATTAGCCGTGTGTGGTGGCGTGTGCCTGTAGTCTCAGCTACTTGGAGGCTGAGGCAGGAGAATCGCTTGAACCTGGGAGACGGAGCTTGCAGCGGGCCAAGATCGTGCCACTGTACCCCAGCCTGGGCAACAAAGTGAGACTCTGTCTCAAAAACAAAAACAAACAACAAAAAAAGGAATGGGTACAGAGTTGAGGGAGGGGTTTTTTGTTTTGTTTCGTTTTGAGATGGAGTCTTGCTCTGTCACCAGGCTGGAGTGCGGTGGCACGATCTCCGCTCACTTCAACCTCCACCCCCTGAGTTCAAGTGATTCTCCTGCCTCAACCTCTCGAGTAGCTGGGACTACAGGCATATGCCACCACGCCCAGCTAATTTTTGTATTTTTAGTAGAGATGGGGTTTCACCATGTTGGCCAGGATAGTCTCAATCTCTTGACCTTGTGATCTGCCTGCTTCGGCCTCCCAAAGTGTTGGGATTACAGGTGTAAGCCACCATGCCCGGCCTGATAATGGTAAATTTTATGACAAGAAATAAAATAGATCATACAATATGCTAGTGTGTCCAAAAATTCAAAAATACTAAGGCAGGAGGATCACTTGAGACCAGGAGTTTGAGACCAGCTTGGGCAACACAGCGAGACCCTCATCTCTACAAGAAAAAAAAATTAGCTGGGTGTGGTGGTAGTGCCTGTAGTCCTAGCTTTCAAGAGGCTGAGGTCGGAGGATCTCTTGATCCCAGGAATTGGAGGCTGCAGTAAGCAATGATCGTGCCACTGCACTCCAGCCTTGGTGATAGAGCAAGACCCTATTTCTAAAAAACTAAATAAATAGACGACAGTCTAAACACACTTGTACCAAACAAAAACAAAACTTCAAAACATAATGCAAAAAGACAGAACAAGTTCCAAGTTTAAGAAACAGTGGAATAAAAAGTTACCTAGTGTCTAATCTGTATGTGTACATATATGTGGTTTTGGTTGTGGAAGCATAATGTAATTTGGACATACTTGGAAGAAAACTCCAAGACTATGCAGGCACCAAAAAAGGTAGTTCAGGTTAATAAACCATTCCTCTTGTTATAATGACATAGTAACATAAGGCACTGAGGTATAAGTCTAATTTGAACAACCAGGTGGCCTGGAGTTCAGACTACCCGAAGGGAGTTTCTAGATAGAGTCAAAAAGGAAGCTAAAAGGTTTTTTCTTTTGGTTTTATGTGTCTATATAAACTCAGATGTGCTTGTTGAGAACTTTAGGGATACTGCAGACCCCACTGACGTGATCTCTGGTTAGTTCAAATAAATTGGTGTCATTAGAGTTGTGTTGCTCTGTCTCCTGTACTTCTCAGAATTACTGCAAGGGGCCTGGCACAGTGGCTCACGCCTGTAATCTTAGCACTTTGGGAGGATGAGGCAGGAGGCTTGCTTGAGTCCAGGATTCAAGACTAGCCTGGGTAACATAGTGAGACCCCTGTCTCTATAAAAAAGAAAAAAAAAGTGAATTTATATTAAAAAAGAAATGGAAAAAAAAGAATTACTGCATGGACTAGATCTTAGGCTGGCAGATGGGGGTTCACCCTCTAGGTGGTGCTTGTGAGTTGAATTGTGATTGTAGTGGATTTATCAGCCTCCTGCTATAAATAAACCATTCTTCCTGTTTCTTACAGTTGCCAAGGAGAGGTGAGTGCTCCTGAAGTAGGAAGGATTATTTAATGAATACAATTTGCATTAAGTACTTAAGTACAGGGAAGGAAAAGAGCAGTGTCTCATGAGAGGAAGTAAGATTGGGCTGGTCAGGGAGTACATTTCTAAGGAAACAGTATTTCAGCTAAAACCTGAAGCCAGAGTAGAAGTTATCCAAGTGAAGAAAGAGTTTTAGGTAGGGTGAAGTGTGACATGTTCCAGATACTAAAAGAAAGCCAGTGTGATTGCGGAGCTTAGAGAGCAAGGGGAGGCAAGTTGGGAAAGTGGCTCTGGATGACTGGAAAGAGGGAGGCAGTGGCTAGGTCAAAGACCATGTACAGAGTGAACATTTTATCCTAAGTGCAGGGGGAAGCCACTGGTGGGTTTTAACCAGGGAAGTGACATCTTTAATGTTTTAAAAGGATCCTTTGGTGATTAATTGGAGATGGAGTATGGGGAGAAGACAGGAATAGACCAGTTAAGATGTTAGTACGAGGATTAGGTATTAGGCTTCGATTAGGATGATGGCTGAGTATAGTGGTTTACATCTGTAATCCCAGCACTTTGGGAGGCAGAGGCAGGAAGATCACTTGAGCCCAGGAATTTGAGGTTGCAGTGAGCTATGTTCATATCACGTCACTCCAGCCTGGGTAACAGAGCAAGACCCTGTCTCAAAAAAATATATTTAAAAAATAAGATAAAAATAAAAAATAAAATGGATTAGGATGATGAAAGTAGAGAAAGAGAAAAGTGGATGGTCTTAAGGTATGTTTTGGAGGTAAAATTGTTACAAGTTGGTAATGAATTGGATACTGGAAGGTTGGAGCAGGAGAGGGTATGTCAAGGATGATTGGTTTCTGGCTTGAACAGTTACGTGAAGGGAGATGGGAAAGAGTGGAGGAAGAAAAAGTTTGTGGGATAAAATTAAGCATTCAGGTTTGGGTACATTTAGGTTTGAGATCCTTGTGAGACATCCAAATAGAGGTATCAAAGAGCAAGGTGGCTTAGGAATCTGGAACTCAGAACAGAGGCTGTAAGTAGACAGCTGTGTTCTGTCAGGTATGAAAATGGATTTCAAAGCCGTGGGAATGGGTGAGTTTGCCTCAGGAGAAAGTGTATCATGGGGAGAGAAGGCCCGTGATTGGGCTTTGGGACCCCTGACATTTAGAGATTGAAGAACAAGGAGAACCCAGCAAAGAAGACTGCGGGGGAAGTTGCCAGTAAAATTGAGGGGAGGGGGACAGGAGAATGAGACATCACAGAACCCAGGAAACTAGTGTTTCAGGAATGAGTGGTCAAGTGAAATCCTCTTAACATGTGTCTGTGACATCAGTCTTCATTATCATACAGCCACATCTGGGCATCAAACACAGTTTTCCAGAGCACATTATCTTCTCCTTTAGGTTACTTGAAACTTTTTAAAAAAGTACAATGTTCTTGTCAAAAATACCATTCCAAGCCATAAATTTCCAGTTCCATATCATTATAGCGATTTTTTCCTACTCATTTTCTTGTAAGTACTCATTGCTTTCACAGCTAACAATTTGTATTATTGATCTGTATTAATTTATTTGACTCCTGGCCTCTCCTCCTACTCTATTTTTCTAGTCTTGCTAGGTCACCTCTGTAAACATCCAAAACTACTATTGGCAACTGTCATTTCAGACTAACATATTAGTCCCAACCAGTACTTTGTTCTTTAAGATAAGGTAATTAAGGCCAGGCACAGTGGCTCACCCCTGTAATCCCAGCATTTTGGCAGGCTGAGGAGGGTGGATCGCTTGAGCCCAGGAGTTCAAGACCAACCTGGGCAACATGGCAAAACCCTGCCTCTACCAATAAATACAAAAAATTTTCTGGGTGTAGTGGTGCGTGTCTGTAGTCCCAGCTACTTGGGAGGCTGAAGTAGGAGGATTGCTTGAACTTGGGAAGTGGAGGCTGCAGTGACCCAAGATTGTGCCACTGCACTTCAGCCTGGGCAACAGAGCGAGACTGTGTTTCAAAAAAAAAAAAAAAAAAGTAATTGCGCAAGTGATCTCTTATATTGTGATATTTTGAAAGGACCCAAATACAAGTCACCTTCTTTTCTGAGGGATGATTCTGGAGGGATGGGATTCAGAGCCATCCCTTATGATCAGGTATTTAAGGTAAAATTTGGCAGTGGGAGACAGTGAACTTACTAGAGAAATATGTTGGTTGATAATGTTAAATAGTGAATATTTAGCGATACCTGTGTGTCTGTTATGTGATTTTTCTCTGTCAACTCAATTGCTTGAGTGTAGACTCAGAAAAGGTGGAGAGAGGGTTCATTCCGGTTGGTGTTTTGTCATCTGGGTAGGAAGAAGGACAGTGGGAAAGGGAGCTGAAGGTGTCTACAAGAGAATCCAAGTAAGTGTCAAGTAATCAAACCAGAGTGGAACAGAGTGAAGAATGGAAATTGCTCCCAGATGGAGAGGATGGTAGTGGGCAGTGGGTTGGAGAACTAGGTAAAATGAGAGTTGCTATAGGAGTCTTTGAGCAAGTGAGGTGGAAGACGGGGCATTTTTATAGAGAGGATGTTTGGATAAGTGGCTCAGACGGTGTGCAGTTCCTGCAGATGACTGGGTGGGGCATGCAGGAGTGGGCGTGGGTTCCAGAGGTGACATGAGGAAAAAAGTCAAGGCACTGAAAGAATGGGGTGCTGTATGAAGAGTTCCTGTGGATATAGAGGTCATTTGGAATGAAGGCAGGAGGTGGAGAGAAGCTACAAGGGATATGAGAGGTGAGGATAGTCCCATGGCATAGACCTCAAGGGAGGAAGGGTTTTTATAAGAGTTGGGGAGTAGTAGCAATGGGGTAATGATAATGCCAGCCTGACTTTCTGTCCCAAGAGACATGGGGAGTGTGAGAGGAGCTGACTCCATTTACAGGGCTGCAGGTGGGGGTGGTTTAGGTGGGGCAGTGTCATTAGTGGGTCTCCAGGCTTCAAAAAGGAGATAGAAGTTCAGATTGGAGGTTGAGGATATGTGGACTTTTGTTGCTCAAGTCAGTGGAGTTTTCAAGACCACAATGGAAGAGTTTTGGTGGGAGAAGGGAGAGGCTGAGAGACATGGGTCAGCTTAGGAGAGGTGGGGGTCTGGAAGGTAATGGATAAAAGGAAGACTTGGTATTTGAGCAGGGCCCAAAGTTAATAGTTGATGGAGAAGTGATAGGCTTAGACCTGTGTCTTTTGGAGAAGAGTGAACTCCGACGCTGTTGGTCCTAAAGTTTGCAACTTGGTGATTTGGTGACAGGTAAATCAGTTGAGATTTGGATAAGAACTCTGGATGTTGTGCACAAAAGAGATGCAGGTTAGCCCTTCAAAAGATCTTTTCAGTAGTGTCATGCCAGCAGAGAACAAGGCACTATCTGGAAAGATGTCAGGCAGCCTTTTAATTTGAGAACTGTCAATACAAGAAACATTCCTTTCAGCCTTGGGGCAGGGAGACATGGTAGACTAGTACAGGAAAAAGATCAAGGCATGAGGCTTGAGTTCTAAGTTCAGCTCTATCACCAAGTTAGCTGATCCTCAGCAAGCCATTTACCTCTTTGAGCCTTGGTTTCCCACTTACAAGTCAGGGATCCAGCTGGTTGATCTCTCATGTCTCTCTGACTATGTGATTCTGGGAGTTGGGAGGGTTATCCTGATTTTAGTTGGATTAAAGAAGGAAGTGCATATTTTTAAGTCTCTTATTTCATTTTTTTCCTCTCACAGGTCAATGTCTGGTCTGGGTCCAGTGTTCCTTCCCAAACTGTGGGAAATGGAGGCGGCTGTGTGGGAACATTGACCCCTCAGTTCTCCCAGATAATTGGTCCTGTGATCAGAACACAGGTAGAAAAGACTGGAAATGTTTTTATTCACGTTTTATTGTTCCTCCCTTTCTTTCTCTGCACTTATCCTTTAGATTAAATACTACGTAAATATAGTTAGCACTCAATGGGTCCTTGTAGTGCTTGGGAGAGAGGAAGGATCTGCCTTTCATATGGAGATGAATCTGGGCAGAAAAGGCTGGATGAAGATGCTCTGCAAAGTGATCTTGTGGGGAGGGGCCTGGAATCTAAATGTATGAGCACTGGTCTGCCCCTGTCAATCCTGATTGGAATATTGGGTTTGTGGATAGGGAGGGATATAGGATATATGAGGGAAAACAGATGAGAGAGATCTGCTGCGCTTAGAATTCTAGGATGTTTGAAACTAGTTGGAAGAGTTGATGATGATCTAGTCCAGCCCAATTATTTTACAGATGAGAAAACAGAGTCTCAGACAAATTATTCTTATGATGCTCCATAGACAGGAGCACAATCAGACATGCGGGGGTGCAAGCAGGAGTGTGGAATCTCTTTCTAGAGTATGAGGAGGCAGCATTCCTACTTCCCCTGGTTCCAGCTGCATTTCCTCCATGGGTCTTTATTGTTCTTCCTCCATGCTGATCTCCCACGTGCCCTTTTGGTCCCACCTGCTGCATATACCAATTTCCTGCTTGTCCTCTCCCCAACCCTCATTCACCTCTTTCTCTTTATGAGTCTCTTCCTGTCCCTTCATTCCTTCTCTCTTTCAGCAGATGTGCAGTATAATCGCTGTGATATTCCTGAGGAGACCTGGACAGGGCTTGAAAGTGATGTGGCCTATGCCTCCTACATCCCAGGATCCATCATCTGGGCCAAGCAATACGGTTACCCCTGGTAGGGCACTATGACACAGTCAGAGCATCCTTCACAAACTTGAGAGAGGTAGATTCAAGCAGGGATGGAAGCAAATGGAAAACATCTGTAATTGAAATGGTTCTGGCCTTAGAAAGAGCAGGGGGTGAGAGAAAAGATAAAGTACCATGCCTGAAGGCTTTGAAAGAGCATGTTTTCTGGAGGTTTCAGCATGGAGGTGATAGCTCCCTGGAAAAAAGGGTCTGATAGTGCTACCCCAGCTGGTAGAAAGAAGAGGGTGGATCTGAGGCATTTAAAAATATTGAGATTGGCCAGGCGCAGTGGCTTACGCCTGTAATCCCAGCACTTTGGGAGGCCAAGGCGGGCAGATCACCTGAGCACACAAGTTTGAGACCAGCCTGGCCAACATGGTGAAATCCCATCCCTACTAAAAAATAGAAAAATTAACCAGATGTGGTGGCGCATGCCTGTAGTCCCAGCTACTCAGGACACTGAGGCAGAAGAATCACTTGAACCCAGGAGGCAGAGGTTGTAGTGAGCCAAGATTGCACCACTGCACTCCAGCCTGGGTGACAGTGAGTCCTCATCTCAAAAATAAATAAAAATATTGAGATTGAGAGATACAAAGTAAAGGGAACAAGGAAAAGTGGAATAGTTTCTTCTTTGGAGATGTCCCTAGTCGAAGATTTTGTTTTTAGGATTATGGGATGGCTCAGAAGGATAAGACCTTCACTAGGTGTATTCTGAACTCCTGTGTGCATTGATGGAAGTCACTTCCTCATCTGAGTCATTGAGTAGTGACCACTAGAGGGGGCTGATGGCAGAGGAATCTATTTTTTAGATCCTTTTTTTTCAAAGCGTACTGCTGACTGAGCGCAGTGACTCGCACTTGTAATTCCAGCACTTTGGGAGGTTGAGGTGGGAGGATTGCTTGAGCCCAGGAGTTTGAGATCAGTCCTGGCTATATAGTGAGACCCCATCTCTGCAAAAAATAAAATAAACAGCTGGGTGTGGTGGCATTTGCCTGTAGTCCCAGCTACTCAGGAGGCTGAGGTGGGAGGATCACTTGTGCCTGGGAGATTGAAGCTGCAGTGAGCCATGGTTGTAACACTGCACTCCAGCCTGGGCGACAGAGTGAAACCTTGTCTCAGAAAAAAAAATCATACTGCTCTTTTCTGTGCATGTACGTTGATGAGGTTGTGTTCTGTTCATCTAACCCCTTCTCTTCTGTCCCCTGCACCCAACTATCTTCTCCAGGTGGCCAGGCATGATAGAATCTGATCCTGACTTAGGAGAATATTTTCTTTTTACTTCCCATCTTGATTCCCTGCCGGTGAGTTTCCTGGTTCAGGGTAAGAAGGAGCTCAGGCCAAAGTAATGAACAAATCCATCCTCACAGATGTACAGATAAGAGACATGGACATAACTAGGAGACACAAGTGAAAACAGATACTTAACTAGGAGGACAAACACAGAGATAAGTGCTCACACATATAATAGAAACAAACTTGTATCTAATTAAATATTTATCCACTGTCAGGGCATTAGTGGTTTTGATAAATATGCTTTGGCTAGGATTCCTGAGGTTAGAGTGGAAGAACAATCGGAACGAGGATAGGGTAGATGAGTCAGGCTTCAAGGGGGCATGTGAGGCCCAGCACCTCCTTCTGGCTAGAGGAGAAAAGCAGGGAGCAGGACAGGAGTCCATAACAGGACCATCTTTTATTTCAGTCTAAGTACCACGTGACATTTTTTGGAGAAACAGTTTCTCGTGCATGGATCCCAGTCAACATGCTAAAGAACTTCCAGGAGCTGTCCCTGGAGCTATCAGGCATGGTGAGCACATCTTGGGGTTCTGTTGCGATACAGAGGAAATGAAATCTTCCTTTTATTAAACCTGATTTTCTCCCAGGCTAAGCCATGTCGGGAGAAAGTTCTGTGTCTGACCAGGTGTGCCAAGGGTGAGGTAATTCATAAAGGACTCTTTTTGCTCCTAGGACTGCAGCAGGGCAATTATTTTTTTCAGTCCCCTTCCCTGCCTGCAGATGGGGGGCCATTCTGAAGATGAGGTTTTTCTACAGTTTAGCCAAAGCAGGTGTGGCAGAAATGAAGGCACAAATTAACTCAGGATTTCTCAGTCTCAGCACTATTGGCATTTTGGGGGAGATAATGTTTGGTTGTAGAGGGCTGTCCTGTGTATCATGGGATGTTTAGCAGCATCCCTAGGCTCCAGCGGCATCTAACCAGCAGCAGCTCCCACCTCTACCCTCTGCCCCCTGCCTGTGGTTGTGACAACCAAAAAATTATCTCCAGCCATTGCCAGGTGCCTTCTGGAGGGCACAGTCTACCCGGTTGAGAACCACTGGATTAGCACAATCACATTTCCTCCCTGTAGTCACTTTGGGTTTGACCAGCCTTGCAAATGAGCAGAGGCTTAGTGGCCCAGGGGCTTTAGAAAATCAAGCAATGAGTATTAAATCAAACAGCTGGATCTAAAGAAACTTGTCAGAAGCTTCAAAGTGAAATCACCTGGGCTCCTATAATCCTCTCTTCAAATTTCCATGGGATTCACTTTGGAGAGGACACCAAAATGTTGGTTGAAAATATTGCTAGGGCCAGGTGTGGTGGCCCACACCTGTAATCCCAGCACTTTGGGAGGCCGAGGTGGGCAGATCGCCCGAGCTCAGGAGTTTGAGACCACCCGGGCAACATGGTGAAACCCTGTCTCTACTAAAATACAAAAAATTTGCTGGGCATGGTGCTGTGTGCCTGTAGTCCCAGCAGGAGGCTGAGGCACAAGAATTGCTTGAACCAGGGAGGTGGAGGATGCAGTGAGCTGAGATCGCACCACTGCACTCCAGCCTGGGTGACAAAGTGAGACTCTGCCTCCAAATATATACATATATATAGTTAGGAATTGGTGAGATGTTTATTAGACGGAAGGGGGGTGTTATGTCTGATCCCAAAATATTAAGGAGTATCGTATCAATACTAGGAACTGGAAATAAATGTTGTAGTTGAAAAGAATGTCAGATGGGTAGCAGTATGCTGGGGTCACTTTGCTAATATTTATTAGTGACTCAAATTTTTTTTTTTTTTTTTTTTGCTTTTTGAGATGGAGTCTTGCTCTGTCCCCCAAGCTGGAGTGCAGTGGCGTGATCTCAGCTCACTGCAACCTCTGCCTCCCGGGTTCAAGCAGTTCTCTGCCTCAGCCTCCTGAGGAGCTGGGATTGTAGGCAACCTCCACCATGCCCAGCTAAGTTTTGTATTTTTAGTAGAGATGGGGTTTCACCATCTTGGCTAGGCTGGTCTTGAAATCCTGACCTCGTGATCTACCCAACTCAGCCTCCCAAAGTGCTGGGATTACAGGTGTGAACCATTGCACCTGGCCATTACTCTAATCTTTAAGTCGATATTTATCATTGGCTCTAATCTTCTTCCATTTCAGAAAAAGCGCAGAAATGACTGCAGCCAGAAACTGGGGGTGGCCCTGATGATGGCTCAAGAAGCAGAACAGATCAGCATTCAGGTGGGAGAGTGTTCAGACCACACCCATTCCTTTCCCTGCTCTTGGACAAGTGGGATTCTTTCTCAGTCCAGACAAAGACGGTTTGTGCCAGGGGCCATCCTACCTCCATATTTCACTTCAAGTTTCAGATATAAGTGCTCTAACCTCTCTTTTCTGTGGAGTCAGTTTTTATGCTCAAATTCTGTTGGTGGGGGTGGGATGGAGAGTTAAAAACAGTGAAAATTTCACCTCCCAATTTCCCTGATTTTTTGAATTAGAAACGAACTGGAAATAGAGATTATAATTAGTTAATCTCCATAAAAGGTCAGATAAGCCTAATGTGTAATTTCACGTGGAAATGGTATGGAAAATGAGGGCTGAGCGGGGGGCTCACGCCTGTAATCCTAGCACTTTGGGAGGCCAAATCGGGTGTATCCATTGAGTCCAGGAGTTCAAGGCCAGCCTGCAACACAGCAAAACCCCCATCTCTACAAAAAATACAAAAATTAGCCAGGCATAGTGGCGCATGCCTGCAGTCCCACATACTTGGGAGGCTGAGGCAGGAGGATCATTTGAGCCTGGGATGGCGAGGTTGCAGTGAGTAAAGATTGTACCACTGCACTCCAGCCTGGGTGACAGAGCAAGACCCTGTCTCAATAATAATAATAATAATTATTATTATTATTATTATTTTGTCAAGCCTGTAATCCCAGCACTTTGAGAGGCCGAGACAGGCGGATCACGAGGTCAGGAGATCTAGACCACCCTGGCTAACATGGTGAAACCCCGTCTCTACTAAAAAATACAAAAAACTAGCCAGGCGAGGTGGCAGGCGCCTGTAGTCCCAGCTACTTGGGAGGCTGAGGCAGGAGAATGGCGTAAACCCGCCGCGAGGCGGAACTTGCAGAGAGCTGAGATCCGGCGCTACTGCCACATCAGCCCTGGGCGACCAGAGCGAGATCCGTCTCAAAAAAAAACAATAATATAATAATAATCACATTTGGTATGGAAATCCAGAATTTCATCATAACTACACAATTCGAAAGACAGAAGGCAAACAACGCTGCCCTGAGAAGGTAGTGGATGAGCTTGTTTCTTGGCTTCCCCTTAGGCAACGGGTTCACAACTGTATTCGGTTTCTGGAAGCCGATCTCCAATGAGATCTAAACCCAGTAACTGGCGGCCAAAGAAAGGTACGATAACCATGGAGGCTGAGGACTGGACGAAGGAATGGGAGGATTCTTCATGAGGGCAGCCAGCCCATGTTCTTTCTTTATTTTATATCCTCTGTCATTCACTACGCTACCACTCTTCCGGCCGGCGCCGCGGTGGCTCAAGCCTGTCACATCCCGACTTTGGGCCGGCCGAGACGGGCGGATCACGAGCGTCCACGGACGCAATCGAGACCCATCCTGGCTACACGGGTGGAAACCCCCGTCTTACTACACACATACAACAACTAGTCCACCCAGGTGGCAGGGTGCCTGTAGTAACCCAGCTACTCGGAGAGGCCTGAGACCAGAAGGAATAGCGTAACCCGAGAAGCGCGAGCCTTGCAGCTAACAGAGCTAGAGCAAATCTAGGCACACTGCAACTCCAAGCCCTAGGTGCCAGAGTGAGACTACTGTCGTCAAAAAAAAAAAAAAATAGACCTCTGTGAATGTCATTGCACCCCAGATCCAGGATAGATGGGCACACATGCAAGAGGAATCGGACGAAACAGGATGGGGAGCGAGGTGTATTAGAATAGTGAATAGACTTTGAAAAGCGATCGGAATATGTCTGCGAAAATCAATGAGGATATTCCATATGGAGAAAAACCTACCCACTTCACACAAAAAGGCACGTTAGAAGAACAGATTCTCTGTGTCGCTTCCTCTTAACCTCACAATTTTATGAGTATAGAAATGATTTAAGCCCTTTCTTCCTCTTCCTGTTCAGGACTTATCAGCTCTCCTGGTTTGCAAACAGGCCCAGGATCCATGCTTGGAGAAAAAGGAGAGAGGAAGAAGTTGGAAAAGGAACCGGCGGAAGACAGCTTTCGCGAACCGGCGCCGCGCAGGCGCGCGCTCAGAGAAAACAGTAAAGATATAAACAAACAAAAAGCTTTAATTTCAGTTTATTTTATAGGACGATGGAAGTGTTTGGGGGCCAAGGATGCCCAGGCTGATCGCAAACCTCCTGGGCTTAAGCAGTCCTCGCCACACTACAGCCTTACCAAAAGTGCTGGGATTACAGGGCATGAGGCCACCACACTTAACCAAGTTAGCTTTAAAAATTGTTTAGCATGGTTGGGCATGATGGCTCAGCTCCTGTAATCCCAGCATTTGGAGCCAAGATACGGCGGACTCACCGAGGTCAGGAGATGCGACAGACCATCCTGGCTAACATGGGTGAAACCCCATCCTACTGAAAATACAAAAAATTAGCCGGCGTCGGTGGTGGGCACCTGTAGTCCCAGCTACTCAGGAGGCTGAGGCAGGAGAATCGCTTGAACCCGGGAGGTGGAGCTTGCAGTGAGCCAAGACCACGCCACTGGACTGCAGCCTGGGCGACAGAGCGAGACTCCCTCTCAAAAAAAAAAAGAAAAGAAAAATTGTTTAGACAAGGATCTTGGGGGTTTCCTTTTAGGAGCTTCCTGTAACGATCTCGTTAGCATGGACTTATATTTACTAAGGAGCTATCCTGCTCCTGCCTTGAGGGAGCCCCAGTTGTCGGATATTTGGGGGTTTCTAGGTCTCTTCTTTCTTTCTTCTCTAATTTCCCACATCTCTAGGAACTTCTTTCTTGAGTATGATCTCAGTTCCTACTGTATTTATTTGACTTTTCGGGGAGCAATTCAGAGAATAGCAGTTGTTTCTTTCTACTCCTTTCTCCCCTACATGGACCTGGAGGATTTTCATTCACTTGTTTTCTTAGCATCTGTTTTCCAGGTATAGGAAGTATATATTTTCACTTTTTCTTCTAATTTTTTATTTAGCAATTTTTATCATACTCGTGGCCTAGCTTTATTTCCTTCTTTTATGCCTAAAGCCTTGCATTGATGAATACCAACAGACTGGGAAAGTGACTACACATTTTTCTCTGTGTTGCCATAAATTTAAACAATATCAGGCTCACAGAAGCTACTTTGATTCCCCAAAGCCTACCTGTCATTGTGTAGCATCCTTCTGTATTAAAAACAGCTAGGGGCCTTAATTTATCATTTTTTTTTTAAACTTTCTCTCCCATCCTCAGGACCCAACTTTGCCTGTTTGTAAGCAAGTCAAAATACAGACCCAAAAAACCAAGCCAAGAGGTAAGCAGGCCAGCTGGAAATGGGGCACATCCCACAGTTAAGGCAGGGAAGTGGTAGAGAGGGAGTCTGCAGGTAGGTGGACCTCACTGCCCGTCTCCGTGCCAGGACCTGAGAAAACAGGCAACACTTACCCATAGTGTCAGTGGGGAGCTGGAGCCCCCTTGCTTCTCTGTAGTGAATTATAAAATCTGAGATGAAAGATAGAAGGTTTTACGTTCTTAGCCAAGAAGGATGGCTTCCTGGAGAAGGTAGACTCTGAGGAGAACTGTAAAGAGAAGAAGATCCAGGGGGTAAAAGAAAAAGAGAATTGGGGAAAAAAGATGTTGAAAAACAGCCAGAGGCCACCAGGAGAACTCACTAGATTGAGACTGAGCAGAAGATGTGGGGCAGGGCAGAGACTCAATGTGCAGCGTCCATCTGCCCTTGCTGAGTTGTCATTTAGAGATAAATAAGCACATTTCCCTCATGACTGGGACTTGGGGGTGGTGCAGGCACAGCAGATGGCCAAGGCAGGACACTGCAGAGGAAGATAATGAAGAGATCTCTGGGCAGGAAATCCACAGCTCCTCCTGCACTCAGAATGGGAAAGAAAGAAGGCCAAGGGAATTCAGATTCTGACCAGCCAGGTAAGGCTCAAGACCTCGGAAAAACTAAGGGGAATGAGGTGCCTGTCGGGATCTCCCTTCCCTGAATCATTTCTTAACCATTTTACAGCTTTTCATTACTTTACAGAATGAATGAAAATTAGAATGAAAGAGCATGTCAGACTGCACCCAGCACACACTATAGAAACAGAATGATTCCTGATTTGATTTAGCCCAGGGGCAGGAGAGTGGTAGAAGAGAAGTAACACTTACTCAGTATTGCCAAGGTCTGGCTAAAGAGATACTTCCATGCCTGCTCCTTTAAATTTTTTTCAATAGCTCTCTCACTGGATATTCCCATTTTACATATCAGAAAACTGAGGCTCAAAGGATTTAAAAATTGCTCAAGGCTGGTGACTAGCATAGGGCGGATGGCTTGACTCTCTTTCTGATCCCAAAGTCCATATTCTTTGTATTGAGAAAGGTCATCTTTTCCAGAGATTTTCTGGAAATAGAGATTTAGGAGTTTGACTTATAAACGGTAAGGACAGGCTGACCTAATAGGACTCTCGGCTTTGTCACCTTCTCATTTAGGCCCTAAGAAAAAATTTAAAGCTCCCCAGAGCAAGGCCTTGGCAGCCAGCTTTTCAGAGGGAGAAGTTACAACAGTGCCAAAGGACCTGGGCCTATCAGCATGTAAAGGGGCCTGCCCCTCAGCTGCAAAAGAAGAGCCAAGACCCCGGGAACCCCTGACCCAGGAGGCTGGACGTGTTCCCCTTGAGGACGAAGCCTCCAGTGATCTGGACCTGGAGCAACTCATGGAAGATGTTGGGAGAGAGCTGGGGCAGAGCGGGGAGCTGCAGCACAGTGACAGTGATGGCGAGGACATCCCCCTGGCGCTGTTTGGGAAGTAGCTGGTGCTCCTGCGCTCCCTTCTTTTCTCTCTTCTCTGGGGCGCAGGAGGGAGAAGTGGCTAAGTGCTGGGGCTGTTCATTGGCTACCAGGTTCAAGTGTGTGTTGTGCTGTTTCTTTGTTAATAAAGCAGGTTGCCGGTCGACTGGCTTGGCTGGTCTCTAACTGCCCCCTGTTGGCTGCTCGCCCTCCTTGGTGTCACCGTGGTACGTCACTGCTTCTGGCGGGAGCCTGCACAGTGCAGGCATCTGGGGAAGGCAGTGAGACCTGAGTCCTGAGAGGACATCAAGAAGGGCAGATCTGGATTCAAATCCGGGCTCAGCTCCTCACTAGCTACCTCCGTGGCCTGGGAAAAAGCATGTTCACCATCCTGGTTCTGCTCTTCATCTTCCAGCGAGTGCATCCTCTACCTTATAAGGTTGTGAATGATGTCAAATGAGGTGATGCTCTCGTTGTCACCATAGGGAAGACTGATCAGATTTGAGGGCAGGCTTTGGGTTTGGGCTGGCTACCAAGGTTTGGGGACTCATGTTCCCTGGCCCAAGGAAGTCACTAAGAAAAATACTAGAGGAAGGGTCTTGGGTGTGAGTTCTCTGTTAGAGTTCATTTTCACTGGGAGGGACAGGAGTTGAAGGTGATGTCAGTTTTCTCCTTACACACATTCAAGTAAGTTTTGGGGGTACTTTTAGTTTTACGGGCCAGGGCTGGGAAGGTGAAGAGAGAGTTGGAGTACATGGCTCTGTTTTTGTCAGTTCTTTGGCTGGCCTCTAAGTCATCTGTATGGCCTTGGTTATTGTTGGAAGCTGTGGCCCTTCCTATTGGAAGCGTAGTGTACTCTAAGAAGGTCACTGTGCAGTCTTTTTTAACTTGTTTTAATGGATTCAGATTTTTAAAAATAGTTTTGAAGATAATCTTTTTAAATTTGTTACTTTATTGTTAATACACATTTTTAACTAGCAATGGCATCTCGCTCCATTATCAAAGCTGGCGCTGAACTCCTGGGCTTACTCTGTTCAGCCTCAGGCTTCAGAGTAAAGTAGCTGGGATTACCGGCCTGCGCCACTGTGCCTGGCCTCACCGTTCGGTCTTGAGAGGGCTGTCCATTGGTTAGGCCTTTAAGACAGAGTACAGAGTCTCGTTCTGGGGGCTCTTGAGGGGATGGTGGCTGGGAGGTACTCTGGGTGAGGTGGAGCTGGAGAGGGCAAGGGAGGCATAGACGATGCCGTCGTCCTTGGCGAGAACCCAGAGAGAAAGGATTAGACAGTGGAGATGGAGCTGTCCCCATCTTAGTGGCAAGCCTACAATCTGACTCTCCTGCCCATACCACACTCCCCCTCTCCCTTCCACCCCACCTTCTCCAGGCTTTCTAATTCCTTCAGGCCCTGGTCTGACTGCTTACCTTGGGATTTGGCTTGGGATCTGTATTTTGTCCTAGGAATAAAAAGCCAGGTGTGCCAAGGTCAGGTGGTATGACAACCAGGGGAGAGAGATGGGCAGGGGGCTCTAGGAGTGAGGTTATCTGCCAGGTCAGGACCAGGGTCACATGGGGGCAAGGGGCAAGGAATGGAAAGAAGAAAACACTGAGAGGGGCACGGACCCAGGTAATGGGTGTTTGGGGAAACAGGAAGGGCCAGGGGTAGAAAAATGGGGAAGGATGGTGGTAAGGACTCACCTTCATTCCTGATATTCTCATATGGCTCCTCTGTGTTTTGGAAGGGTTCCCTGTAGAGAGAAAAAAAGAAATATGTTAGAGCTGATGGGCATTTAAACATGGGCTGGCCGGCCGCGCGCCAGCTGCTCAAGCCGTGTAATCCAGCACTTTGGGAGGCTGAGACGGGTGGATCACGAGGTCAGGAGATCGAGACCATCCTGGCTAACACGGGTGAAACCTCGTCTCTACTAAAAAAATACAAAAAAATAGGCCGGGCGTGGTGGCGGCGACTGTAGTCCCAGCTACTCGGAGGCTGAGGCAGGAGAATGGCGGTGAACCTGGAGGCAGCAGCTTGCAGTAACTGAGATCTGGCCCACTGCACTCCAGCCTGGGCGACGAGCGAGACCTCCATCTCAATAAACAAAAAAAAAAAAAAAAAAAAAAGGCCGGGCGCGGTGGCTCAAGCCTGTAAATCCCAGCACTTTGGGAGGCTGAGTACGGGGTGGATCACGAGGTCAGGAGATCGAGACTATCCTGGCTAACATGGTGAAACCCTGTCTCTTACTAAAAAATTACAAAAAAATAGCCAGGCGTGTGGTGGCGGCGCCTGTGTCTCAAGCTACTTTGGAGGCTTGAGCGGAAATGGCGGTGAACCCGGGAGGCGGAGCTTGCACGTGAGCTGAGATTCACGCACTGCACTCCAGCCTGGGAACACAGCGAGACTCTGTTTCAAAAAAAAAAAAAAGAAAAAAAAACAGACATGGGGCTGGTGGTGGCGCACTGTAATCCAGCACTTTGGGCGACTGAGGCAGGTGGCCATTGCTTGAGCCCAGGAGTACAAGACCAGCCTGGGCAACATAGCGAGACCCCGTCTTTATAATAAATACAAAAACTAGCCGACGTAGTAGTGTGCGCCTATGGTCCAGGCTACTCAGGAGGCTGAGGTGGGAGGATCGCTTGAGCCCAGGAGCTCAAGGCTGTGAGCTGTGATTGCGCCACTGCACTCCAGCCTGGGTGACAGAGTGATACCCTCTCTCAAAAATTAGAAAAAAGAATTATGACACGTGTTAGGGGCTGGTTCTCTTTGGGGAGTGCTCTGCAACCTGTCCACCCTGCTCAGGATGGGTGTGATGGTTTTAGACTCAGAGGAGGCTGCTTGGAAGAGGAATTAGGGGCAATTTGTGTGTGGCCCAGCAGAGGTCCATCGGTGCTCAGTGAGTTGGGTTATTCTAGGGAAGCTGCTTGTATGAGAGGAACACGGAGAAGAAAAATTGGAAAGGTCAATCCTTGCTTTCTCTCTGCTGGTGCTGCCTTGGCTAAAACTGGGAGAAGCAAACCAATTGTGTGAATTTCAGGTCTTCTGATCAGGGGCTCAGGCTGGGTGAATGGATGGAGAAGGAACCTGGTGAGGGACAGGAGAAGGGCAGCTGACAAAAGCCAGCACAGGAGAAAGGGCAGGGGTGATGCTTTCTTCCAGCAGGAGACCTACGGCCATGGAAAGGAGAGGCCAGAGGAAAGGAAAGAGAGGCAGGAGGGTGGAGAGGAAAAGCCCAGAAAAAGGAAAAGTGAGGCCCTAGCCTGGAGAGGGGAGCAAGGCAGAGGCTGGTGAGTCCCTCCTGAGCACACACAGGTGGGGAGAGGAGCTGGAGGCAGAGGAAGCCTGGGGCCCCCACCGCACATTCAGCAGGGGAACGGGACAGATTGAACGAGAGCAGATGATATGAAAAAGCTGGAAGATCCAGGCTGAGAGGAAGCAGGTGAAGAGCAGGAAAAGCTTAGTAACACCAGGAAAGGCAGGCAGAGGGCACAGATGGGCACTCCAGAAAAGAGACTCTAAGTGTTCGTGCTGGAACCCGGAGTCCACTAGTCTAGTATTTAGGGGACAGAAAGCCTGAGGTCAAGAGCCTGGCCCCTAGAGGACAAAGGAGGACGAGGATGGGTAAGTTGGGGATGCAACAATGGCTGTGGCAGGCTGGGTTTGTGGGGTTCTTAGCAGCATACTCCCTGTTTCCCAAACCAGGCCACTGCCTGCACATGGACCTCCCCACCGCCCTGGGGAAGCCCAGTACTCACTTGGCTGGGGTTGTGGCTTTAGTCCGCTGCTGACCTGTAGGGGGACCGACAGTGAGTCAGGGTGGCATCCGGGTGATGGCAGTCTCCATCCCACCTTCTGTGCTGCGCCCTAGGCTGAGGCCCTCATTAGAGGGACCAGCTGCTCCACCCAAACGCATCAGGAAGGGCCTGGGACTCAGCCGGCACCCTGAAGTCCCCACCTGTCCTCCCTGTTGTCCTCCACATCACCTCCTGAGACCCCCTCACCCTGACCCCCTCCCTTGGTTTCTTTCTTTCTTGAGCTCTCTGCTCAGTCCCAACCTGGCTCCCTCCACCACTGAGCCCTTGCCCAGCCACTTCTCCCCTCCCCTCCCCTTGACATTGGCACCCTGCCCCCACTCCCTCCAGGTCCTCAGGGAGACCACACCTGTGCTTTTCTTCTAGGTGGCGTCTAGGTCTGCCCTCCAGGCTTGGGAGCCTCATGCTTGGGACTCATGTTTGTGGCTGTTGAAATTCTGTTGCCACCGCTAGGCCTCCTCTGGCTGGTCCCACCCTGAATCCTCTGCTGCCTCTCCCACTGTACCCTGCCCATCCTGTCCTCCTGGCATCCTTGCAGTGTTTCCCAAGCACTGGGCTCCTGGTTCACAGACATCCCCTCCACCATCCAACCTCTTCCCAGAAGGGCTCCACGTCCACAGAGACACCCTCTGAACCCAGGCCTCGAGGTACCCCTCAACTCCAGGGACTTCCCCTTCCACTTCTACAGGACTTTTTTTTTTTTTTATGTTGAGACTGGGAACTCTGAAATATTAATTGCTAGTATCATTTCCATTCTGCAACTTTCCCTCCTTCCAGCACTCTTCTGTCCCTCTGTTTTTCCCCTCTCTTTGAAACTTAAACAGGTTATATTTTATTTTACTTATGGTAAAAAAAAAAAAAATGCTAGAATTCACTTTTAACCACGTGTACAGTTCAGTAGTGTTAAGTATATTCACACTGTTATGAAACATCTCCAGAACCTTTTTATCTTGCAAAACTGAAACTATTTTAAAGAATCCCCACTCCCTCCTCCCTGCAGCTTCTGACGGCCACCATTCTACTTTCTGTTCCTATTAATTTCATATCTCTAGGTACCACCGAAAAGCAGAATCATACAATAGTTGTCATTTTGTAACTGCCTTATTTCACCTAGCCTAATGTCTTCCAGGTTCGTTTATACTGTAGTATGTGTCAGAATTTCTTTCTTTTTCTTTTTTCCTTTTTTTTTTTTTTTTTTTTGAGACGGAGTTTTGCTCTTGTCACCCAGGCTGGAGTTCTGTGGTGTGATCTAGGCTCACTGTAACCTCTACCTCTTGGGTTCAAGCGATTCTCCTGCCTGAAGCTCCCACGTAGCTGAGATTACAGACGTCCACCACCAGGCCTAGCTAATTTTGTATTTTTAGTAGAGACAGGGTTTCACCATGTTGGTCATGCTGGTCTCGAACTCCTGACCTCAGGTAATCCACCCACCTCAGCCTCCCAAAGTGCTGGGATTACAGGTGTAAGCCACTGCACCTGGCCCAGAATTTCTTTTAAAGACTGAATAATATTCTATTATATGTATAAACCACATTTTGTTCATTCGTTGATGGACATCTGGGTTGCTTCCACCTCTTGGCCATTGAAAATAGTATTGCTGTCAACATGGGTGTATAAATATTTCTTCAAGACCTTTCTTTTCAGTTCTTTTGGGCATGTACCCAAAAGTGGGATTGCTGGATCATATGGTGGCCTTATTTATTTATTTATTTATTTTGAGATGAAGTCTCGCTCTGTCACCCAGGCTGGAGTGCAGTGGCACAATCTCAGCTCACTGCAACCTCTGCCTCCTGGGTTCAAACGATTCTCCTGCCTCAGCCTCCCGAGTAGCTGGGATTACAGGTGCCCGCCATCACACCCAGCTAATTTTGTATTTTTAGTAGAGATGGTGTTTCACCATGTTGGCCAGGCTGGTCTCGAACTCCTGGCCTCAGGTGATCCGCCTGCCTCAGCCTCCTAAGGTGCTGGAATTTGAGGAGTGAGCCACCACTCCTGGCCTTTATTTTTAAATTTTTGAGGAAAGGCCATGCTTTTTTCTATATCATTTGCACTATGTTATACCCCCATCAACAGTGCAGAAGGACCCCAATTTCTTCACATTCTTCCCAACGCTTGTCATTTACACACTTATTTATTTTTAATAGTAGCTATCCTTCTGGGTATAAGGAGATAGCTCTCTGTGGTTTTGATTTGCATTTCTCTGATGATTAGTTGGCCATTTTCATCTGCTTGTTGGCGATTTGTGTACTGTCTTAGTGTATTTTGTGCTGCTAATATATTTTTTTTTATTTATTTATTTTTAAGACGGAGTCTCGCTCTGCCGCCCAGGCTGGAGTGCAGTGGCCGGATCTCAGCTTACTGCAAGCTCCGCCTCCCGGGTTCACGCCATTCTCCTGCCTCAGCCTCCCGAGTAGCTGGGACTACAGGCGCCGCCACCACGCCTGGCTAGTTTTTTTTTTTTTTAGTAGAGACAGGGTTTCACCGTGTTAGCCAGGATGGTCTCGATCTCCTGACCTCGTGATCCACCTGTCTCGGCCTCCCAAAGTGCTGGGATTACAGGCTTGAGCCACCGTGCCTGGCCTGTGCTGCTAATATATATAAGAATATCTGAGCCTGTATAATTTATAAAGAACAAATTTTTTTCTTTTGTTGGACAAGAGTTTGCTGAAAAGTAAAACAAAGCAAAACAAAAATTATTTCTCACAATTCTGGAGGCTGGGAAGTCCAAGATCAAGGTGCCAGCAACTTGCTTTTTTCTGTGTCTTCCAGAGGGGAGGATTACTGTGCCCTCACATGGCAGAAGATCACAAGACAGTGAACCCACTCCTGAAATCCCTTTTTATAATGGCATTAATCCGTTCATCTGGCAGAGCCATCATGATCTAAGCACCTTCCAAAACACACTACCTCCCAGTTGTCACTGGGGACTAAGTTTCCAATACATGATTTGAGGAGACACATTCAGACCACAGCATATATCATCTCTGGAGAAATGTCTGTTAAAATCCACTGCCCACTTTTAAATTGGGTTGATTTTTTGTTGTTGTTGAATTGTAGGAGTTTTTATATATTTTGGATATTCACTCCTTATTAGATATATAATTTGCAAATATTTTCCCTATTCTGTAGGTTGCCTTTGGATTCTGTTGATTATGTCCTTTAATGAAAAAACATGTTTAAGTTTAATGTGGTCCTATTTGTCTATTTTTTCTTTTGTGGCTTGTGCTTTTGGTATCACAGGCAAGAAATTATTGCCAAACTCAAAGTCATGAGGCTTTTCCCCTATGGTTTGGGATCTTACTTTTAGGTCTTTAATCCATTTGGAGTTAAATTTTGTGTATGGTATAAGATAAGGATCCAACTTCATTCTTTGGTGTGGATATTCAGTTTTCCAATGCCATTTGTTGAAGAGATTGTCCTTTGCCCATTAAGTGCTCTTGGTACCCTTGTCAAGTCTTTTGACCATATGTGCAAGGGTTTATTTCTAGACTCTGTATTCTATTCCATTGGTATATTGATCTATCTTTTTTTTTTTTTTTTTTGATTCAGCTCCTCCTCCTTTTTTTTGAGATGGAGTCTCACTCTGTCACCCAGGCTGGAGTGTCAATAGCACAATCTCAGCTCACTGCAACCTCCACCTCCCAGGTTCAAGTGATTCTTGTGCCCGGCTCATGGTGTATAATTCTTTTGCCATGCTGTTGAATATAGTTTGTTATTATTTTGTTGAAGATTTTTACATCAATATTCATCAGGGTTATCAGTCTGTAGTTGTTTTTTTTTCTTCTTGTAGTATCTTTGTCTGGTTTTGGTATCATGGTAATGGTGATCTCACAGAATAAGCCTGGAAACGTTCCAGCTGCCTTTTGTCATTATCCCACTGTACCTGTTCTTAGACTTCATTGAACTCTTATCCCTTGATAATCTACTTTTCTACAGATTATTCAGACTCCCTGCTGACCCCTCTGCTCTCCATTCCTGCCTTCTCACTAGCTCCTTGACCTGTGATCTCCTGTCTCTCTGCCACACTTAGCTGGCAAATCTCTAATCCTGGGGGTGTCTTATGGCGGAAATGCTATTTGATTACCCAATATCTATTCAATTATTCTTAGTTACAGAAAATTGATTTTATTTGGAGTGGGAGGATTCCCCCTACAGATAGCTGTGGGATATATGACCAAATTCTAGCCAATAAGATATAAACTGGGGTGGGGGGAGTCGGCTGTGTGGAGAGGGCTGGGGGCTCTCACACACGAAGTTGTTAGGTCTTTCAGGAAGACTCTTTAAAAGGGAACAGATAGTTGAGGCATAGTGGGGTTTTTTTTTCCCCTTTCTTCCTTTCTCCTATTTTTTGCCAGAAACCCAGAAATAGTGGCTGGAATCCTTGCAGCCATCTTGGGCTATGAGGCAACCTTCGGGACAGAAGCCGGCATCAGGGCTGGTAAATCAGAAAGGTAGGAACCTGAGTGTCTAAGAACAGTGATGTGCTGTCTGCTTCCAGATCTGTTTACAAGACGAAAAAATAACCCAGCTCTGTCTTGTTTAAGCCACTGTTACTTCTGGTGCCTGGTGGTAGCAACTGACAATTCCTGACCAACAAAAATCACTAAGGTCTCAAAATCTGAATGGTTGACTACTGCTGGGGGAAAATACGCCATGCACAACGCTGCTATCATAGATTTACAGTTTCTCATCTGAGCTGAATCCTCAGCTCCACCTTCCTGTTTCCTCAGTGATTGTCAAAGCTTTTCTTCAATTCCTGCCCTGGCTTACTCATTCTGCAGGAGCAAAGTGCTTGTCTTGTTTTTGTTCTGCGAGATTTTTACTAAAAAAATTAATGTGCTGATTTTTAATTTTTTTTTTTTTTTTTTCTGGAGACA